AGAGGTGGGCAGGCAGACGTAGAGCGAGAAAGACAGACAGACAGAGGGACACGGTCGTGATGGGAGGTCAGAAAGACAGAAGGGGACAAAGAAAGAGAAGAGAATTCAAGTAGCGGTTAAGGAAACCACTTCTATGTTATATCAGAGATCGGATGAGTCAGTGTTGTCACAATACTTGAGTTTTGGCTTTGATACCCATGAAAGGTTTAATATTTGACTTAAAGATAACTATAATACCACAATGGGATATTACAAAAAATACGTGAGTCGCATATAATATTCGTGACACATTCACACATGATGGCAAGAATCCATCTCCATCAATAAGATCAATCCTTAATGTTTCCCTGCTTTGCTCCAACAGGTGGATTGTATTGTTTGACGCTGTTGCCAACGGTTGTTTAAATGAACTAGAACTCAGCCTGGTCTACTCCAGTTCCTCCTCTACTTTATCATGTGCACACAAGTAATGTGTGTGTGTCTACACTTTTCTATTGAACTTTACTTTTCATAAAAAGGTATCAAAGTTGTGCTAAAACTGTCATTATCGTGGCAACACGAAGTATGAGCCCAGACAGGCAAAATGGAGAAGAAGACTCATGCAGCAGAGCAAAAAAAAGGCACAAGCATGTCGACGTCCTGGTCAAACTCTCATCCACATGCACAGTATACATTCACTCCAGCATAGCGTAAAGAGCATTCAACACGGCCGGTCCTCTCAACTACAGCATGCCCCCCCCCCGGATGGATATGGAATGTGTCGTTGGAAGTGGAGCATCGGTTCCTGTATCCTAACATGGATGGATATGGAATGATGTCGAACCGTGAGTGCACAGACACATCAAGGCCATGTCCAAACCCATCCCTCCATTTTCTGTGACGGAAGGATTTGGACGTAGAGCCTATAAACAATCACTGGGATGAACAGGCAGACACCGAAGCCACAGAATCCGGGGCAGTTTTCATCGCCCAATCTTTTTTTTTTTTTTTTGAAAAAAAAGTGTTTATTTTGTGGGGGTGCCCCCCCCCCCCCCCAGATGCAAGTTTTTTAACTCAAAGCAACATGAGGCAACAGGGCCACTTACTCCTGCAATCTGTCCCCCGGCCAACATTAGCTGGGTTTGAGGCAATACGCTCTGCTGGACGGAGGTCGGAAGAGCGCTCGAGTCTTCCGACTTAGACTAGTGGAGGTGAAGCAAAGAGGGAGGCTTAGGAGAAATCTTCCTACAGGGTAGGTCACTGAGAAGTGTTGACAGCGTGATAGGTCTGGTCAAACAAGCCACAGCTTTTTTTTTTAATCATAAATAACAACAAGATCCAAAATGTTTTCACTGAAAGCAGTTTGAAAGGTTGATTAATTCACACCGAAAAGGAGCCGTGTAAATAAAATAAGCACAACACTATAAAACATGAACTCTCTGTGTGCTACCTGAGCGGCTCTCTGAGGATGAGCCTTCAGTCTTTGAGCAGGGAGAGGAATTTGAATTAAAAACGAAGTGAGAGAGGGGGCATTTAAATGTGCTGCAGCCTTCAGAGACCAGGAAAGTGAGTGGGAAGGGGAGGGGAGGGGAGGGGGGAGAGAGAGTTGAGATGCTAATTAAAATAACTGTTATGCAGTGCATGTAAATTCTGCATAGATTTGCATATTCTCTGCCATCTGTTTCCGAGCAACCGCAGAGCAGCTAATTAGCATACAGGGTTTGATTAATCTGCCGTGTTGCCAGGCGACAGGAGGAGAGCCTGGCTCATTTAAATTAACTCTTTCCTGCTCGTGCAGATGAGCAAACCTCTGTTTAAACTTCAGACCTGAAAACTAGTTAAGATGCGGCATTACACCAAAACGGTATCCATTAGACTCACAAACAAAAGTGACTCGTGGTGGAGTGTGCGATGGCGTGGTGCGTTACCTGTTGGAGGAGGGCTTGTGCGTGTGCATTAGTGAGCGCACTTGTGGTCGGCACCGTCTGCCTCTGAAAGTCAAACCCATTGATTTGGATTCCTGAGGATAGAAATACAATTTAATGAAAAACGTGCCATCAGAGGAGCAGAGGAGATGCTTTTCGTTGTGGTTTAATTGGCATAACATAATTTACGCTCTTTGTTATTTTAAACACAAACAAAAAGAGGAACAAAACACTAGAAGCCCACAATGAAGCTGTGGCAGCTTCAGTAGAACACGCTGCTGTCAGGTGGAAGGAAGACGTATTTTTTTTTTTTTTAAAGTGACAGCAGCTGTGACGCTGATCCAGAGTCGTTACACAGATGCATGAATTTGGTGGGTGAATCGTCACAGAATTTTAAAATATTGACACTTAAACTGCAAGCATTAATATTGACGTCATTCGGCAGTATACACGGTAGGAATATAAAGATGCATCTACTATAGTTTGTATCACAGAATCACTGACAGAGCAAATGAGTGTTCAATAGGCACGAGTGAGGGAAACTCGAGGAGGACTGCTAATAAGGATTTGGGAAAGCTGCCATGTCTTTTTTATTAATGAGTCAATAACACATTAGTGATTCTTTTCTGATTTGTACTGCAGACATTTTTGAATTTGCAACCTGTTGACTGAGGAGGTAAAACTCTGATTTCCACCCCGTTAAAAGGAAAAAAGAAAAAAGAAAAAGCTGGAGGTCACTCACCGGTGTTCCCGTCACCACTTTCCATTGCACATTTAGTAGTTTCTGAGTGATTATTCACTTTAGCATCTGGAAGAGCCAGACAGAGACAGATAGTGAGACAAACTCACACCTACCGCCGGTTAAAAACACAACAAGCCTGTCTCTGTGACTTGAGGAGCACTCTCAATGAGGAGCACGACATTCCTATCCTGCAGTTACATTTCTGTCACATTCACCAACTCAAAGCGGCGAACATTAATGAGCAAAATCACAAACCGATGGCCAGATCAACCTTTGTGCCAATGTCATGCAGGGATGCCGAAACAACAACGAACTCCAGCTGAGCTCCATCATAAGCTCACCCAAAACTCACCCACTAGCGCTCCGACTGCGTTTTCCAGCATGGCTGCAGAAACTATCATGGAAAATTTGCCTCGACCGGGCAAACCCACCAACGGGGCGTCCGGCACTCCGTTTCCTCCTCCCACACTCTCTTCACTCTCCACTGGTCAGCAGTGAGCACAGTTCAATACAAGCAGAGCTGCACACACAGACACAGTGGCACTGTCCACCACACGGTCCACTGAGCAACACTGGGAGATGCACACTGGGAAATATATCTCTCTCTCTCTCTCTCTCTCTCTCTCTCTCTCTCTCTCTCTCTCT